GGTATTGTCGGTTTGACAGGCATGGTTCCGAATTTTGCTTTTGGGTCTTTTATTCGTGGGGTTTCGGATCCTGGCTTGGTTGAGTTGCTCGCTATACGAGAGGCTTTATATTTACTGCAACGGTGGCATTGGCATGATCGGGATGTGTTACTTACGGGCGATGCCCAAGTGGTCATTGACAAGTTGGTATCGGGCAATTTATCAGATGCACGTGCTGGCGCAATCTATTCGGAGGTTCATGCCTTGCTAGTCCAATTACCAAAAGTTGTGTTACATTTTACTCCTCGAGATGCGAATCGGGCTGCCCATTTAGTGGCGCAACATGCCCTACGCTTTCCTGGATTACCTTCTTTGTTAGTCGATTTCTCTTATTTGTTCTATTTGTCTTATGATAGGTGAGTATGCCGTTTGTTGTGGCTACCCTTATCCTTGCCTTGTAAATCTACCAAGATTTCTATGACAAAAAAAAAAAAAAAAAAAGGCAGCTATAGCTAGCTGGTGTGCATGGCTGCATCTTCCCCAGCCATCTCTTTCCCAACGTGTAAACTTCAGTCCTAGCTATAGCTAAGCTCCAACTGTTTGTCTAACGTAATCCAGCTTGCCTACAGAGGATTGTGAGCTTGCTTGATGCCTTGATCATCTCCCACTTGCAATGGAACCACGTCATAACCACTAATAACTTATTAACTCCTGGCCCTACGGACGTACCCAAAGCCAAATATTTTGGAGGGTGATTTCGTCCTAGCCAGTTTGTTTGATATGTTTGATCGGTTTTGAGTGGGCATAGACTTCTCTAATCAACTAGCGTGGGCCCCGGCCATTTGGTCGGAGGAAGGTGAGGTATGAAATTTGATAATGTAATGGGGTGTATAACTTATTATTGTATAGTTTGTTTTGAGAAACCCGTGATAAAAATAGTGAATTTTAGAAGGAAAGAGACATGAATGATGCAACGAATCAAAAATCAGCCTTAAGAACTAAAATCAAGTACTTGTTACCTTGTGAAACAATATTGTTTCTGGTAATATGATGAGGTGGAGTAAGTTTTATAGAAACCGAATTCCAGAAAATCGAATAAAAAATCGTATGTCCCGCCGGTTTTCGGGAAATGAGCATCTCACAATCGTTGCTAGCTTTTACTCGGCCCGTTGGCCGATTAATTTGCTTTATAAAACTTTCATCTTGTCATCATTGTGCTTTCTGGTTTTTTGCCAAGCCATGATAAAATCTAAAGAAATCAAGAATGAACAACACGATTTGGGATAGGAACCACCATTCCTGTATCCCTAGAAAATGGCGGTAAACACGGACTCACCTGCCAAACTGGTTTGGATTGAGATTTTTATCGGGTATCAGGCATGTGATTATAAATTAGACTTGATCAAAACGGGCCAAAACTTGAAATTCGGCATGTTTGACCGACTCATGTCAAACTCTAATTATTCTTTACTTTTAAACTTTCTATTTGAAAATAAAAAATAATGAAAGAAAAGAAATGACTGCAATTCGACATTTGCACATCACTGATTCGGGAATAAAACTATAGAATTTCGAAAGGAAACTGAAAATGTTTAGGATTGTTTTAATGTTAAAATAACCAAATAGATATTTCTGTTTAGTTTTTTACTAACAAATACCAAACGATTTCCTATAATATACAATATAATTTAATCATTATGATATCAAATAATGACATAATATATATTTAAAATGATAAAAATTGGACTAATTGGGTTGGTCGAGGTTTAACCATTGGATAACTTTAAAATACATTACATTTTAGCCACTAAGATATAAAATAATAGCATAATATATATTATGCTAGATAAAATAGCTTGTTTTAGAATGGAAAATCCATGATGTTCATTTGTTTTACTTGATGGGCAAATCCCGTGTAGGTCATGCCCATTCAACTCTTTTATTTTATGATTAGCGGTTAGCCCATTAGAATCCATGCATTAGTTTATTGTTAAATTTTTTTCTTTTTAGCAATAAAAGGAGTATTGTTTTTGTCTTTTCATATATATTTTACCACCACGGAGAAATAAAAGGACTTAAAGAAAAAAATTGACACTCCTGGACCCGTTTAAATCCGCATGTGTACGGTAAGTTGGCCCGTTCCACAGAGGAAAAAGAAAAAAAATTGACACTCTCTATTCTACCTTTCCTACAAATACTCCTGGAGCAAGGAATTTGAAATGGTGGAATGGTTTTTTCCTCTCTGCGATTATATGTTTTTACTTTAAAAAGATACAACAAATTTGAAATGGGTCTTCAAATTTTCTCATTTGGCTTTTATTTATTGTGTAGATTTTATTCGTTTTATTCTTGATTCATTTGCTTAAATTATATGTAATTTTGTTCACATTACTTAGAATTTTACTCTTATTACATAGTATTAGATGTAGTAAAGTTGTAAGAAGATGAGAATCTCAAATTCTTAAGTAATATTTCAAGTATTTTTTTTAAACTGCATACTCGTATGTATCGATCTGTCCAACTTATATCGCAATACAAAATACCTAACATGGATACAATTTGCCACAAAATAAATATGGATGTCAAGATACCCTAATTAAAATGGTTTTTCTTACTTGACATATGGAAATTGCTACATATATAGTAAGACGTTGGAAGCAATCATAAAGAAAGAAAACAAAAGCCACGAGATTTAATCAAGCTAGCTAACGTTTATGATAAGAGAAATTTTACAATGCTATATAGTATTGGTGCTATAGGTTTTTGTCTTTATGGTACAACTTAAAATTGTACATTTACGTTATGGTACAACTTCAGATTGTACCTATACTTTGTGCACAAATTCTTTTATGGTACAACTTGAACTTGTACCTTTATGTGATGGTACAACTTCAAGTTGTAAAGTTGTACCATAACATAATGATACAAATTGCTTTATGGTACAACCTAAACTTATACATTTAGTGTTATGGTACAACTTTGAGTTGTACATTAAAGCACCAATGCTATATAGCATAGTAGAAGTGCTCTTATGATAAATTAATGTATTTTGGAATAGGATTAGGTGCTAACTAATTTAGTAGCCATTAGATTAAAAATTAATCCTGAAGTCAGAATTAAATGAAAGATAATGGCTTAATTGCAAGTTTGGTCACTCGAATTGCTACAAAATTTCACGTTTGCCACTCAAATTAATTAATTCCATTTATAGTCACTTAAATTAGGTTAACAGTCCAAGTTTGGTCACTCACTGTTAGTCTCCGTTAACTTTTGCTGATGTGGCGGTCAACTCTTATAGTTGACCGTTAAATGCATGACGTGGCAATTAAAAAATTTAAAAAATTAATTTTTAATAATTTCCACCTCATTATTACAATAAATTAAAAAATAATTAAAAAATGTCACAATAATTAAAAAAATATTTTCCACCACGTTGCAAGAACTGGCGCCGGATCGACCCCGACGGCTCTGCCTCCGCCTCGAAACCCTCCCACCCTGAAGTATCGATTCCTCATCGCCTCCAGATCTCCGACGGGGTTCCGGAGAGATCAACCATCAACGGCGCGCTGGTCTTCCGCAACTGGGAGAGCCGGTGGTGCTTCTAGGGACGCCGGCAAGGCCAGATATTCGGCTGGTACAATCTCCGGTTCTGCTGGCCGACCAGCTTCGTCTGGCTCCCCGAATCCACACTCAACGACACGATGATAGCGGCAGCGGCGATCTCGGCCCCACCGACCTCGGAAAAATGAGCAACGTTCTCCTCTGGTGTCCCAACCACAATCCCATGTCCCAGGTTCAATATATGTTTCCCCTTGCCATCCTTCCAATGCCCTTCTCCCCACTACAAAGAGCTCGGAAATTCACTGCTGTTTTCGGGACTTTATCGGCAAATAGCTCCATCACTACCCTGCCTGCTTTCATCTTACCTATCACTATGTCAAAGAAGACCTTTGGGTTCTTCGACATCTTGTCCAAGTCCTAAAAAGGAATCCAAGGAATTGAATCGATTACAAACCATTCATACAACAACAAAAAAAAGAAGGCATCAGTAGATATGGAAAAAAAAAGCGCAGAACTTTAGATAACTAAGAAGGATGTTGCAATTTGTTCGAGGCCGTATTCAAAATAGAGAGATTTGATAGGCACGAAGAATCGCTAAATGGAAGTTGCGAACCTCTGAGTACTCGCCCACAGCAGCGAGGACGACAGCGGCGACAGGTTCAGGCGGCCGAGGCGAAAGTGGTGCAGCTTGGTCACCGGCGCCGGCCAGAGGAAATAAAAATTTTATTTTTTTATTTTTTAATAGTTTTGAAAATGAGGTGGAAATTATAAAAATATTAAATATTATTTTTTATAATTTTTTAATTGCCATGTCACACATTTAACGGTCAAAGATCAGAGTTGACCGCCACATCAGCAAAAGTTAACGGAGACTAACGGACAGTGACCAAACTTGGACTGTTAACCTAATTTAAGTGACTATAAATGGAATTAATTAATTTGAATGGCAAACGTGAAATTTTGTAGCAATTCGAGTGACCAAACTTGCAATTAAGCCGAAAGATAATTTAGTCAATTTATCATCAAACCCTAATATAAATACACCTTAACCGCCTCTCCCACAAACTTTCTCTGCATCCTCTCTTGTGCGGCGATGAGCGTCGGGAACCAACCAACATTGTGCCGCCATTGTCTGATTTGCTATCTACTCCGCCGACCTCGCCACGAACTCGCTCGCCACCATTGTCTTGATGCCGCTGCCCTCCTCCACCAAAGAGTTCTTTCACCTTCAACGAGACATAACATGAAGCAAACCCCAACCGAGAGTAGTGATTTTGATTACCAATAGTATTGACTTTGATTATTCTTTCTGACTAGCATTCATACCCGCGCTCCGCCCCGGGATTTGTGATTCGATCTCAAAACAGAATGGTTACAACTTGTACTTCATGTGTTTTAATTTGCGGATTATAATCCATGAAAATTGAATAAACAATAGTAAAATACAGTAACTCAAATGTCTAAAGAACAATAAAGATCAACCACTACACCTTGACAATCCTCATCTACGTCAAAAAGCATAGAACCTAACATCAATAAAACCTGAATTCTAATCATAATTATAGCCCCCTGCAAATTAACAGGGTGAGCAAGCCAACGTTCATGAAATCCAAGACTCCAGCCTTCTGCTCCCATTCACGATTCCGATGAAGAAAACCCCCATAAAACTATCTAGCCCTCGCCTTGCACCACCAATCTACATTTCAGGTTCTGTACATTAGATAAAAATCACAAAGAATAACAGCGCAAGGATAATCATAAGATAAAAAGGAATTTCAACACCCAACATTGGTGCAAGCTCCCTAGGAAAGTAAACAACCAAAATCATATATGAAAAACAAAAACACCTGCAGCCTGCAGAGTACTGAGCGGACGGTCCGAAGGTTAAGATATGAAATCCCTTCGCCTACAAAGATAGCAAAACCATCCATAAGAAAAAAATATGGTACAAATGTAGTGCCCCACCATAAATCAAAGCTCCCCACCAATCGTGCATACATCAAACGTTAGAGGAAAACTCACAGCAAAGAAAAGCCAGCAAACTTAACTGCCTGAATGAGAGGTCATCTGTTGAGTGCACGAATCTTAATAATCACATTCCAATTTCACTCTGTTCTGGACCAAAGAAAAAGTGATAAATATCAGAGGGGGATGTGTCAAATGAGAATTGCAAAACCAACCAAGAGGCAAGAGCATAACTACTTATGAGGAATAGACAATGACCTCTCCACGACGACGGCATCCGGACCCTCCACGATTTCAGCTCCTTCTACAGCCGTCCAGAGGGGCAAGGAAAAATAAAACGAGACTTGCATGGAAGAGACATAGCCTAGCAGAGTGACAAAAGAGACATTATAAGAAGAGTAAAGAGACAGAAAAAAACAACATAATTCTGCACCTTAGAATCTTCCTTTGAGCGTCCAATCCGAATGAAAGAAATAGAGAACAAAGAAATAAACTACAGGTTCTGGTGCATAGGAGAAAACCCTAAAAAAGTTTCAGGCGCCTCATCACACACGAATCTCCATCGCAGATTCGATGAGTGGATTTTATCACACAAGACCACCAGCAGCTTTCTGAAAAGAAATCAAATGAAGTCAGTTGTGAGGAACTGTCAGAACCCTAAGAAACCCAGCAAGTAGTAGAGGAAACTGTCTACCTCATGGTTCATTTTTTGGGTAATCCGATCAGTCATCCCTCGCGTGCCATCGCCCATGGGTCACCACAAGAAATTAGTGTTTATTGCAACCCCATTCTCTCATCATCAAATGCCAGATCTGAGAAAGAAATCAAAGAAATCCTTTGATTTATAAAAGAAACCATATAGGAACCGGGTGAAAAACAAATTCATCAGAAGAGGATGAGGATGAGGAAAATCACCTGAACATTTAAAAAGAGCCGTTCAATCGGTACCTTTCTTATTCCTCTCCGGGCCGCTCACGACCATCTCTTGATTGCTTCTTACTCCAACGCAGAATAAAAATGAGAGAGAGCCAGTGGTTGTTGGGTGCCCCTCGCCATGACGGAGATGAGAGGAGAGAGGAAGATGAGAGGGAGAGAGATTTTTTGAAAGCACTCGTCTGCTTCTCCCTTTTGTGGTAAATTGAGTAAGTGGAGAAGAGAAGACATGGGAGACTGGGCTGGATGGTTGGCAACGTGGCCGCCTGTCAACCAAGCAAGAACCCTATGAGCAGCTTTCCGGATTTCGAAGAGGCACTGGATACTGCTTAAAACAACGTGAAACCACTCATAACATGCAAGGAAAAAAAATCAAAAGCAATCTCACTGCCTCCCCCGTCAATCATCGTCAATCGAAAATGCAAGTGACCTCCCTCACCTAGCCTCCGAGCCATATGCAGAGATACTGAGCAGCACAACTCCTTTCATTCAACTTTTCAGTCCCTTTCATGGCCCACCATCTCTGAGATATCCCATCTCCCAGCACAGTCTCTCCCAAACCCGCCAGATCTCCCACCACTCAACGATCCCTACCCAGCAGAACACCCACAGAGTAACCGGAAAACCTCGATCCGCGTGCCCGCCCGGGCCAAAGTCACATATCGATCTCTGATGACCAACGCGCGTCCGGGCCACCAAACGACCCCAACTAAGGCCAACCAGAAGCTAACGACCAGTCCCACCCCGACCGAGCCCCCAAACTCCGTCAGATCCCAATGAGACCTCACCTAACAACAGCCCACACGCCAGCCCATGCCAGTTTGAAACAGTAAATCTCAGTCACAATGGACAGTAAAAGGTGTCTGCGTGTACAGTACATGGGCATGCGGTGGGTTTCTTTCTTTCAATTACCTAGAGTAGTGATTTTAATTACAAAGAGATATGCCCCTGAAGGCAAATAACTTCCTGTTCTCATATTTGCGTTGTCAATTGTAAAGATCCGTAGCGATTTCCGATTTTGATTAGTAGTAATAATGTAGTAGCTATTATGTAAATATTGATATATGGATGACCAATGACCTACCACATTAGATGCTCACTTGGGAGTTACATGTAACCCCTATTTCTACATTATTATCTCTCATTCATATGCATTGATATAAGGATGTAGTGGTTACCAAATTGTGCCTATAAATATAGCACACCATTGTATCAAAAAGAAAAGAATGAATAAGAAGCACTCTTCCCCTCTCTTCTCTTGTGTCTTTTTCTCTCTAATCTTCTCTTGTAGTTGTTTATATTTTCATTAGTTTCATAACACGTTATCAGCACCAAGCTCTGCCAAAATTATCATTGGTCAAATACTCTCGACATAATCTAAGATATTGGAGTAAGATCACAATGTGATCAAGGTATGTAAATCTCATCTCCTTTCTTATCTTATTGTCTTATTTGTGTTGAGAATATCTCTTTCCAATATATCAAGATGGGTGCTACTCTTTTCTCGTAGTAGACCATCCATTGATATTTTATCACGTACATCTATTTGGATTAACAAGAAAAGTAATATAAATGATGAGTTAATTTCTTAGTTCTCCGTGTTATCCTATTCTTATCAATTATACATTGATATTTAGAAAATGCAATTTCCAAGAGCTCATATATTCCCCAGAAGTGGAAATTGAAGAATCCAAGGGCAAAGAAAGAAGTGGACATGGTAACAAGAATATTTGTTATGTATGTTACCATTGTAATGGAAAAGTGTGCTCGTCTTGTACCCGTTGTATGCAAAAGACTTTATTCTACCAAGAATCAAAGGGAAGAGCAAATTCATATACGCTCCTGCAATATCAATATTATGGAACATATTTTTTTGTATTATAAGTTGGTATATTCTCCATTAAAGATGAAAATGATATTGCATTTGAGTCATTTTCATTCCCAGAAGTGAATGAAACAATCTATTCCCCGAAGTGAATGGAGCTATAAACATGATTATATATATGTTAAATGTATTGTTTGGATCTTTTCACTAGAAGTGAGAAAAGAGGGGGAAAAGGAGAATTATAAATAAGAATGACATAACAATTTCATTATCAAAGTCATGATAACATAATGTACCAGTTGTACATTGAAATGCATAATGGAACGCATATATAAATTCAAAATCACCTAGTTAGTGATGGTATTGTTCAAAATAAAGCTTATTTAATTTTCACAATTGTAGTATTATGATTCTTATTTTCTTTATGTTTTATTGTGACGTTATTTTTCATACATAATTTAATTTGATATCTTTAACGAGAACAATTAACTTGATAAATTCATCATTTTGTCTTAAGTTTAAACTATTCTGAATTTATTATTTTTAGTATGTTTTTGTAAAGTATGAGTGTTGGAAAAATTCCATATAAACTATATGGTAGAGTACATAAATAAAAAAAAGCTTCCGAAGAGTTTATGTTTGGTTACTTGAAGTAACTAAATTATGTACTCGTGATAACAATTTGTGATGATATTCACTATGAATTTGTGTTTAGTAAGAATGCATCAAATCATAAGTCCCCGGAAGGGTGGAATATGGTACAAAATATGGTAAAGCTTTAAAGGAGCTAATTTTGTGGTCTGAAGGAACCAAACTGCTTAGTGATGATGCATTACCCAATTAAAAGGAATTCATAAAATTAATATCTTATCAAGAAAATAGTGAAACTAATATTTGCATCACAAATATGTACTACATGTATATTAGTACAATCAGTACACATAAAAGTGTAAACCAGAAGTTTACAAGATTTGATAACTTGATAATTGGTTGATCCGGTTAGACCATCCCGGATCTTGATGTGAAAAAAGGTTCTTTGAGAATTCATGAGAACATCATATGAGAATTCAAAGAACTCTTCAACTAAAAGAGTTATTATGCCATGTTTGTTCTCAAGGAGAATAGAACAATTTATCAGAGCTTGTATAAGAGTTGGCAAATCTCTTGAGATTTTATATGATCACTTTTATTTTATCTAATCGCAACCCGATGTTTGCGAGATTGATTGCCTCACTATGGATACATTTTTATGATTATCCAATCAAACATCACTTTGCTTAAGAGAACAAACTAAGCCTTCTGATCTCTTGTCGAGGACATGCTAGCTGGCGAGTGATAGTATTGGTTCACATCTAACCAACAAGTTATCATAAGTTCCCCCCTTTTACAAATGATTTTGGTCAAAAACCTAACATTTCTCATATGAGAATATAAGGGTGTGCCGCATACATCCCAATTGTTCCACTGCAGTATTTTAAGTTGATTCTCATTAGAGATTGAGAATTTGTGTTGAGGTTTGAATCCCAAATGGAAATTTTTTTGCGAAATTATTGTTTTGATGGATTACTTTTCCAACATTAAGAGGGAGAGAAAAAAAAACAACTAGACAAAGAGATGAGTTGGAATGAGTTACCATTATCTAGTTCTGATCCTCAAAGTAAGAAACACGAACCTGAAGTTCATAAGATGAATTATCGTTACCAACTATCAAATGCCTTTCTGGCCATACGAAGTGACCAAGTCACATATACTAGCTGTGAATGCTCCAACTAAATTTGACATCCTTGTTGGATACTCTAATATAAAAAAATGTGTATGAAAGAGCGCATGAAGCGTGATAGACCAATCGGTTCCAATGATAAACATCATCGAGAAAGAAAAGGAGTTGTAATTAGAATGGTCAACTCGAGGACATGAAAACTCAAGAAGAGTAACCAAGAATAAAATATAATTTTAGTTCCAGAAGAACACATGTCTCTGAAAGTTATGAAAGCGAAGAGATCTCAAAACCATATTAGACTACAATACTAGAACCGTAATGAAATCATTGTCGATGAAATTTGTTTGTTGTACTTCAGTACTAAATATGATATGTACAAGTGAGGATCAAGAGTAAAACTCTATTGATACATGTAAATGATGATGTTATTGGCCAATATAGAAAGAAATCATGAAACTTGCTCAAGGAGCATAAAGTTTCAGGACCAGAAGTCCTTGCACCTAAAAAAAGGGCAAAAACTAGCGGGATACAAACAAATTTTTGTGCTATTGAAAAGTATGAAATTGTGAGAGATATCGCATAATGTTTTGCAATGGGTTTCTCAAAGAGACCTATCATTGTTTAAGAGGAGTTATACTCCCCTGTGGTGGATGCAACTACCTTTTCAAATCAATGTTTGAAAATTGTTGTGATAGCCTATTTGTTTGAATTCCCTGAAGATGTTAAATATATTTGAAACTCCCAGAAGGATTAATTTACCCGAAGTAAACAAGTAAAGTTCTCGAGAACATATATAGATAGACTAAGAAAATC